GTGGTAATCTTTCAGTGTGATTCTTGCGATGTCACTTTGTAAGCAGCTTTGAATTTTATAGCTTCTTTGAAACGGATTGCCGAGCAGACGATACGCATCGCCGCTTTGTGCCTTTTTTGCTGAGTATATACTGTGCAGTCAAACCTTAATTTTTTGTGCCTTGTCTCCTTCCGTTGTTCCCGTCTTTTATTTCCTGGAAATGCTTCTGTTCTTTCATTACCAATGATGCCTTGCTTGTAGTTATTGCTAACGCATTCTAGTTTTAATAAAAATAATTAGTAAGCGCACCGACTGCTGGTGCGAAGATGCGTTTTTTCCGTGTTCCCAGCAGGTTTTTATCGCTAACGGCGCTGTTTCTTCTGGCAGATGCTTCTAGCTAAAAGAATTGAGACTGGTCATCACGACTGTTAGAAAAAACAACCCATAAAATTACAGCTTTCTAGCTCTTCAGGTCCTTGAGTTGTGCGTTTTTGCATTGCATGGATGCAAGAAACGCATAAAAATGTGATGCTTTCTCGCTTGTTATGATGAATAACTTCCAGTAGGAATCCGCTGAGACGTAGCAACAATACCTTTTTAAATTGAACCAAACATGAAAGTTAGGCGCTCACTTGGACTAAGACAAATGGCGTCAGTTTCAGCTTAAACTGTTAGCCGGTGGATCCCAGTTAGCATTCAGTCCTGAAGTCGGCGTCGCTTGCGCCTGAAGTTTCTGGAAAGTTTGGCACCGCATGATATTTATTTTGAACTACGTCTGACCCACAGTTTGTTCACATTAAAATTCTAAAGGAAGGAGGAAAGCACTGTTGTTTTGAAAGTGAGGAAGGGAAAATAATAAAACAGTGTAGCATTGCGGAAACGGTAGAAAAATACTTTATAGAAATGCTAAAAAAAGAACGCGTCTGAACGTGTGCAGCCATTCTAGTGCAGTTCAAGCCATAATCGGATTTCTGCACCTCTTGAAAGAGCGAGATGTGGAGGGTTCTCCCATCCCACTGGGTCTCCCACCCCATTGACGGGAGCCCGAGACCTCCCGTTAGCTGGGTGGGAGACCAGTTCAAGCACTGTTCTATGACCCGTGCTTTATTACACACGTTAATTTGGGTGTATGTGTGCGTACGTGACTATGAATGCATGTGTGTATATATGTGTGAGCTGTGTGGGTATGGTGTATTTCCACCTCACAGAAATACTTTATAATTAAAGAAAAGCAAAACAAGTTACACCTGAACGTGCGCAGTGAACAACAAAAATCCCAGAATTCGTAACAGGCATCGAAAATTGTGTTATCAAAAACGATAAAAATTGCTAAATCGCTAGCTGATTAAGACATGACGCTGTTCATTCAACAAATCGTGGGCCCGGAATACACACCCACTATCAGTTGTTCATTAGGGTCGTTTTCTGTCGCACTGGCTGAGTAAGGATTACGTTTGCATTTTTCTCTCGATAGAAGTAACAAGGAAAGGATGGGAGAAAATGCAGAGCTTTACGAGATTGAAGAATTTTTGAGCTGTAAATGGTCGCAACATGGTTACATGCATGCGTTAAAAAGTTCTCTCTGAGTAGCGCACTCGGTATCGAAGCAGGTAACTCTCGTCGAGCATTTAACATTCACTAGAAAAACCAGTCCGTGGACAAATTTTTCATTCGCTTGGATGATAAGTTGATTTTGGCATGTGCCAGCAAGCCAAACCCGCACTAGCATGATCCAGAAGAGAAAACCGTTGGTAACCACACTAGTGCGACTCTATCCACAACCGGATTTCCGCATCTCTCGAAAGAGTGAGATATGGAAGGCACATAGAAGTTGTAGTTGCAGCTTTAAAAATGATGTGGATAACTCAATGGGTTCACGAGGATAGCAACTGACTGCACCAACAATACAAAGAAAGAAAACTCTTACAGTTACTATTAAAAACAGTACTGACTACGATTCGTCTATAACAAATTGCTGAATCGCTTGAGAATAGCACTAGAAATTTAAACAAATAGTGCTCGGAAAAGGCACATAGTTGCTTCAGCGAACTGGTTCAAAGCGACATGCTGGACACAGTATTTCTTTCCAATGCGGGATGCTCGATAGCCGATCAAAATCCGCAAGCTGTTCACACAACACGAACTTTCGACTCGAAGTAAAAAAAAGTAGTGGACGGACATGACAGTTCTATTCGCCAAGAATGCTAGCCGGGCAAACAGTGTGGGGATCCCATGCTAATTGTGTCAATACAAAAGTTGCGCGGAGCACTTGTTTCATTCAGCCTTATTCCTCACACCGTCCTAGCGAATTCAAATTTTGCCTTTTGTACGGAATACATGACATTTTCTGCATTACCAGTCGCTAATGGGACTAGCATTGGTTTGACCCACTTAAGCTTAGCCGGACAAAATGTGACGCACTATTTTCTCGAGATGCTTGGAGCTTCCAGGATCTTGTACCTCGCCTTGTCTCAATACTGTCCAGTCTGTTGCCGCTTACAAATTATGATAAAATGCCCAGACTGGAAATTTGTCGATATACGCACTTATACTGTTACATGAGTAGTATAATTACGGAGCAGCGGCACAATATTGATAATTTAACGGAAGTCAAACAAAAATTTGCTGTACCGACATCGGACGCTTCCTTTAGTAATAAAACAGCCACTGCTTCAATCGATCCCTTCAGAGACGGTTTCTGAAAATCAGTGGATCGGGAATTTCTGATTATTTTCGAAAAATTACTCTTTTGGATTATTTACAAAGGACAGTTGTGCAAGTCTTGTGTTTTTGCGCGTTATGGAGACGACAGCTGTCGATGATGTACGGCAAA